GTGGCTTGGAGGTCAGGAGCCCCATTGCAATGTTGCATTAGTTGCCGCGTGGTCTCAGCAAGAAAAGCCCTCTTTGGGTCCACAGTGCAATGCAGGGTTCCTAACTCAGGCTACTGAAACTCCCACGAGCATGTGTAATGCCGTGGGGCAGGTGTGTTGTCGGTCTCCCCTCACACATATGGTGTGCGCTCTATGGTGGATTTGAGTCTGTTAGAACTTTAGCTTGTGCTTTTACAGTCCCACATGGGAAATTATTCATTAAATTGGAGAAAGATGGGGATTAATATGAGAACTGAAAGGTGGATAAAGAACTGGTTAAAGGGGAGATTAGAACAGGTCACACTGAAAGGTGAACTGCCAGGCTGGAGGGAGGTTACTAGGGGCCTTCCACTGAGGGATCGGTCTTCGGTCCAATCTTATTTAACGTTTTCATTCATGACCTTGGCACAAAAAGCGGGAGGTATTGCCAATATGGAGGAGGACCGGAATATCGCACAGGAAGATCTGGAGAACCTGGAAAACTGGAGGAATAGAAATGGGATGAAATTTAATAGTGCAAAGTGCAGAGTCATGAATGTAGGCACTAACAACAAGAATATTTGCGATAAGATGGGGATGTATCTGTTGGAAGCAACAGAAAAGCCAAAAGACCTGAGTAAATTGCTTGATCACAGGATGCCTAGGAGCCCCTGACCTGATGTGGCTGTGAAAAAGGCTAATGCAGTCCTAGGATGCATCGGGCTACAATGACATGTGGCCCGTCTGTGACTGCTAGTAGCAAAAATCCCCAATGGCTGGAGACGGAACACTCGATGGGGAGGGCTCTGAGTTACCCCAGAGGATTCTTTCCCAGGTGTCTGACTGGTGAGTCTTGCCCACATACTCAGGGTTCAACAGATCACCATATTTGGGGTCAGGAAGGAATTTCCCCCCAGGTCAGATTAGCAGAGACCCTGCGTTTTTTTTGTTTTTGTTTTTTTTACCTTCCTCTGCAGCGCGGGTCACTTGCAAGTTTAAACTAGTGTCAATGGTGGATTC